TGGTGTGCCTGTTTAGCTATCACACCCATCTTCCATCTCCTAAACATTTTTTAATTAATTAATTAATTAATTAATTAATTAAATTTGTATGCCGCCCATCTCCCCCAGCAGGTGACCCTAACCCTAACCCTAATTAAAATTAATTAATTAATTAGAAAGTCAAACTACAAAAACATGCCCTATACATAAGAAACTAAAAACATTCAAGATGACGGAGGAGTAAAAGCAATTACCCCACAAGCCACTTCCACTGATGTGAGTCCCCATCCGGCCCGCAAGCCATCTGGCATAGCCAAGATTTCATGCTCTTCCTGAAGGCCATGAGAGTGGAGGCACACTGCACCTTGGGTGGTAGGTTGTTCCACAGAGCGGGGGCCATGGCAGAAAAGGCCCTCTTCCTAGATCCTACCAGTCAAAATTCCTTGACTGGTGGAGTCTGCAACATGCCCCTTCTGCCAGACCGAGTGGGGCGGGCTAATATAACAGGGGCAAGATGGCTCCTCAGATAACCTGGTCTCAGAAAACATGTCTTTTTTAACTCTTAGCTCCATCAAAAGTTCCCTATGCATTCCAATCATTTCCTAAGCTGCCCCCTATTTTTTTTCTTTTTTTCCTCATTTTATATGGTGGTGACTGTACTTCCAGTATCTTATTGTCTAGAAGTTCCTAACTCTCCTGTAAAACCTAAAGGACCAGGTTAGGGATAGATTGTCATGGAGAAAATCTATCTATCTGGTTGCTAAGAGTCAACAATGACCTGATGTTACATAATAACTCAATCAACTCTCTTGTATTTTCTTTGACTTGAGGATTTCTGTCTATGGTATTCTACTTAGCACTTTTCTGAGCTTGTTGAAACTGGATCTTCTAAAATCTGGTATGCATGTACAATTCTGCCCTAATTTCTCTTTCTGTAGTATCTTGAACCCAAGGTAATATGGTCATTTCCTTCCAGTGTTCCCACTCCTTTTACCTCTTCAGCCACCAGTTTTCTATTGATTAGAATCAGATTTGGAGGAGTCAAGCCTTCAACAAACACATGAAACACAATCAGCACGACCACTAATTACTTTTGGGTACTGTATAGTCCTGGCTGAGTTGGTTTTCCAACATATGTCTCCATAGTTGAAGTCTGAATGTTTTGTAATCTGTATTGTCCAGATCTCTTGCCTGGCTTTGCAGTCTATAATATCCCTACAATAAAATCTTTTTTTCCTTTCCTTGTATTCTTACCCAATGCTCTCAATTAGACATTCATGCTCAGACTCTGGGATCTTAATAATGTGTGCACTTTCTTCTCATATAATGCTACTCCTCCATCTGGCATATTAAAGCAAATTCTATTTGTCAATCTTTGTATTTCACTCATGCATTCCATTCTGCGAGCTTGCTTGCTTGCTTTTCTTTTCTTTTTTCTTTTCTTTTCTTTTCTTTCTTGATTTAAATGGCTGCCCATCTCAAATACATGAGTGGGCGGCTAACAATGATTAAAAACAAGAGAAAAACAATTATAACAAAGTTATAAATAATATGTACAGCTAATATGTACAGCAGCCAAGATTAAAAAAAAAAAAGCAACAATTAACACAACCATTATTGTCCCCCATACTCTGCACAATTGTATAGAAACACTGGAAACCTTGGTTTATCTAACCTGACCTATTATTTCCTGTATTTATGTTTATTATCAGATGCCTCTACATCTCACATACTCCTCCCAGTTGAATTTCCAGGACTTGGTGTTGCACTATTTTTAGTTTTCTTCTCCCTCCCCCACTGGATTCAGTTTAAGGCCCTCTGAATCTACTTTGCATGGCACCTTCTAAAAACATTTTTCCCAGTTCTTGTGAGGTGCAGCCCACCTTTTGCCAGGAATTGTTCATCTTGGAAATGTGTCCCATTATCAAATAATCCAAATAGTTCCTGTTGGCACCATCTGTGTAGTCAGTTGTTCATTCCAGTATTCTTCTGTCTTCCCGAGTCATATCCTTCAACAGGAAGGAGTGAAGAAAATACCACCTGTGCCCCAGCTCTTTCACTTCCTGTCCAGCTCTTCATAGTCTTTTGCTGTCCCTTCAATGCATGTTTAACTGTGTAATTTGTTCCCATGTGGATCAATAGAAAGTTGTCAACAGGTGTAAAGAGTCTTTGAAACCTTTTTATCACATCCTAAATGTGTGCCCTAGGAAGGCAGCACATTTTTCTTGGTGGACTATTCAGCCAACAGATTGTTGTTACAGTTCCTTCTCAGCAAGGAGTCTCCAATCCCCCCCCCCCCATTGCTTCCTCTTCTTCAGGACTGAGATGGGAATCCTTCCCTTTGGACACATGATAGTGTCCTCTTCTTCCGTCCCTGAGGCTTGGCTGCTGCTGTTTGTCCAGGAAGCAATATGAACAGGGACAAACATGATGGAATCACAATTTATTCTGTGGCTCTAAAGAATAAGAACTCTTCTTGATAGGCTTGGGTGCTTGCATGTTCTTCCATTTCTCTGTCCTCTTCATCTGTTCTCCTATATTCCAGGAAGCTTCTTGGTACTGCTGATCCTGTACAAGTGCTTCCTGTGTCTGTTCCAAGAATATTGAGGATTCTCCCACCATAATTTTTTATTAATTGGGGAGGGGAGGTCACCATCCTCCTGTGTGTGGATACTATAGTTTTTACCTCAGAACTGTGTTTGGTCAATATCTATACATAAGGAGTCCATCACAATGTTATATCAGATTGACATATCATGTGAACTATTGGTAAGAAAGGGCTCCTTCCCTTCCATACCTCTTCTATCAATTATACATCTTCAAGCTGCCACCCCCACACTAAGTTCCACTTAGGATTGCATTCAAAAGAGGAATTTGCAGAACAGCTTCCTCTTTTGTAAGGCTCACATATCTGCTTTGAAAGCTGTTCCTGTTGTCTGCATGTGGAACATGTCTGCTGTGTAAATGTGCTTTGAGAAGCTTCTCTTTAGAATGTTTTGAACAGTCTTATATCCAGTACTCTTGACTGTTAATGGAACATCTGCTCAGAATCTTGGTATATGCTTTCTTTGGTTCTTGTGTATGCCACTTTGTTTATTAGGGAGATAGGGTTGTTCTCCCATAACTGAACACTTGATGATATCCTTGAGCCCATTCCCATCCCCAGTTATTTCCTGTCCTTTAACAGGGAACCACAGAGGATGTCCAAGAATTCCTTGGCTGTTCAGAGATAAATAGATCAATAATATCTCAATTCCACAGATTACATCTTTTTTCTCCCACTTCCTACTTTTTTTTTCTCCCACACAGCTGGATATTATTTTCTATATTCTGATACCTCTGCTCCTCAGAACCTTTGTTACAACATTTTTGGCTCTTTTTTAAAAATTATTTTGCTTATGTGGAGTCCTTGGGGTTCTCTGAGCTTGGTTGTTTTCTTACAAACCGGCTAGGTAACATCTTCAGTGCTAGAATGGAGTGGAGTTTGCTCTCTGTTTATATACAGTGGCTTGCTCTGCCAGTGTTGGTGGGGGTATGGATTTTGTTTTTATTTTTTCCTCCTCTGGTAGTTCCTTGATTAGGGTATTCTTTACTGCTTGATTGTCTGGTGATAATCTTGGTGTTAATCTCTGCT